TCCTACTTCCCCTGACTCACCCATTCTGACTCCCCGCAGGACTTCTATTTACAGAGGATTATTTGGTTCCTGAATCTCAAGCCGAGCATTCTGTGTACTTTTAAAAAGTCATACAGTTCTGAAGTGAATTGTCCTGGCACGTGGGTGGGAAAAGGAGGGTGCTTATACCTTCATCCAAATTCCAAGAGATGTTTATAAATTACTCCCCGGGCCATTATTGGAAACTAACCTCCATATCCTTCATCATTCCAGTTTACCTTTTCTCTGACACTCAAAATACACTCTACTACCTACTTGCCCCTTACCTTTTCAAAAAAAGACAGAATATCTAAATAGAATTGCAAAATTGTATTACAATGTGGAATATCTTTCAAAGGATTTGGTTTTTATTAAAGCATTTATTTTTCTTTTTAAGTAATTTAATCTTAACACTGTCCCAGAAAAGCAAATGTATACATTTACAAATAGTTTGGTGTGGAGAAAATATATTTCAGCTCTTGGGTCGGAATGACATCTCCCTCCAAACTTTTTCTTTTAAAGTCTTTTCATTATAAAATGAAACAGAAAACCACACAAAAGAAATGTTGGCCTTAATAAATTATTCTAAGGCAATTACACTTGAAACATCCACAAAGTCATGAAACAGAACTTCACTACCCAGCCTAGATGCCCCTTCTATGTGTTCCGTGTTCCTTCTCAATCATAACTACCCCCCACCCATAAGTACCCGTTATCCTGACTTTTATAGTAATCGCTTTCACTTCCTTCTTTCTTTAACGGTTTTATCACACAAATGTGCACTCCTAGATAGTATAGTCTCCTCTGCCATGCACACACTTTCAAAAAAAATTTGATATATCTTTTAAATGCATTTTTTTACTTCACAATTTATCTCTTAAAGAACAGAGGCCTTTTGGCTAGTAGAGTTTCCCAGAGTCAGGACTTTAGAGATTGCATGCTCTCGGTACAGTTGAACATGTTCTTTTGTTCTCTGTTTCCTATAAATTGGCATCTGTGTTTTGAGGCCGAACTGGACTTAGGTTTGATCCCTGTGGCAGCATTTTAGATGGTGATGTGGTCTTCCCTCAGGAGGCACATATTGTCCAGTTCTCTTTTTATGATTTTAGGAGGTGTTGAGTATAATCTATTCATTCACATAGGTTTGCAAAAATTGAAATATTCTATCATTTCTTCTTAATAGTGGGATGCTTTTATATAGATTCACTTCCACTTATCTCTTATTTGGTTACCCAAATATCCACACTTAACTTTTTAAAGTTCCTTTAGAGCAGAAATCTTGCAATCATCATCTTCATAGCCCTTTTGGGGTTCTATACCTTTGGTATGTGGCTAGATGTTGAATTTGCAGATGAAACATTCCCTAAAAATGAGATTAAAAGGTACACTGAAGTCATACATAAAGCAGAAATATATTAATAAAGTTTTGATAGCAAATTGCAGCCACTAGAAACTAATAATTCTTGATTCTCTGGCTGATTATGTATTCAAGGTACAGTTTTTTGTTTTCTGCTGGTCATTAGCCTTTGTAACTTCCATGAAGAGATTATTAATAAAAGGTGAACAGATGGAACTGAAGTAAAAAGATTCTTGTGACTCTGTTTTAGATCAACATGCAGGGTCCCTCCTTCTCTGCTGGCCCCCCAAAGTCAGAAGTTAAATAATTATTTACATGCATATTTTAGTACAATTTTGGACTTCCAAATGAAGGTAATGATTTTTCAAAAAGTCTTATTTGATATGTCTACAGTGATCTAGCAATCATATAACCTAAAGCATTTAGTTAAAACTTTTTTTAGTAAATTTAATTATATTGAGAGAATTCAAAACTCTTGGGATTTTGATTTTTATATTTACTACAAATGTAGTTTTTTATATGATGATTGATAATAGCTATTATTTTATGAATATTTTCATTTTAAGATAGTATCAAACAAATATTTTGGTGTTAACAGCTGAAAGCATTCAAGATGCCTCCTGGAAGTGCTGAGGTATTCACCTGGAAGCAGTTAGTTGGAATTGTCATATGCTCAGTGGATGGCAAGAAAGAAGTTTGGGGTCAGATGACCTGGGTTCTCAGCTCACAAGCACCGCTTAACAGTTTAATGACAAAGTAAACACTTTGTTTATGTCTTGTTTTCCTAATGTGTAAATCTGAGTAATAAAATCTATCTCCCATGGTTGTTTAGAAGTTTAAATGATGTAAAATATTGGGAAGAGTGCTTTGTAATATTTACTGGTAGCAGATGTTGTAGTTAAGGAGATGTAGTTAAGGAGACTTAAATAGCCCACTTAATCAGATGCCCTTTGAATTGGGCATCACTACACCTGAAAACTGCAGATCTGCCAATTTGACATTAGAAAGGGTCTCAGCTTCAGCTACAAATACATCTCAGAGATTCAGAGTTCTGAAATATCTTAAGTTAGAAATGAAATGATAAAAATCAACATACACCTGTGCTTTCTGTGAATATTCCTTTCTTATACCTCATCTGCTTGATATCTACCCCCCAAAAGTACCAGGTCTGATATGCTGTTCATTATATGAAATTTAAGCAAAAAATAGAACCATTTAGTCTTAACTATTAATGAAAAGACATGTTATCATGTACTTATTTTGGGTGATGGGTAACAGTCATTTATTACTGTGTATCTTTCTGTATGCTTTTAAATTTCCAAAATAAAACTAATTTTTCAAAAAAAGGAAAAAAAAAAAAGACACAGTGGTTAGCCTGATTCTCCAACCTTTGGGCCAGATTTTTATATATCACAAGTCTGCAGAAAGAAATCTTTCCAGAAAGGAAGAATTTATTTCAATAATTGTCTTGCAGGAATATCAAAAGGTTTTTTCTTCTTTTGACTTGAACGCCATAACATTGTACTTTATAGAAGTGGAAATAAAGGCATTAATTTGAACAATCTTCTAGGCTACTTTGATTGTAAAGTTTAGATCATATAACACTTATTCAGATTGGTTTATATTTATTTATATTACTGAACACTGTGGCAGAAACAGTGCAAATCTTTTTTCACATTTCTTTTCCCCAGCACACAGGAAGTTACACCTCACAGCCTTCTTAGAGTCAGTCACACAGGGGCTTGTGACTAGTTCAGGTCAGTTAAATGTCAGCAGAAGTGAAAAGCCACTTAGGGAGGAAGCAAAGAAAAGCCCTTGCAGGAATCTCTAATAACTCTTCTGCCATCCCTAATGTGCTGGGAAGGCAGAGCCAGAGATGGAAGCAGATGGTAATACTTAGTCACCACAGAGTAGTGAGCTGCTCCAGAGAGTCACCTGACTGACAGGTGACTAGCGCAGCATCATAACCTAGCACGTCCTGACTCAGATAAACAGAGTACTGTACTGCATACTTTACAATCACTATAAATGAAATAGAAGAGTAGAAATAGGAAAGACCCTCTAGGCCTCTAAGACCAAAGTATAACATAACATTCATATTTTCAGTTTCGAAAATTAAAGTTGTTGCCCTTGAAAAAGCGACTTTGCTATACAAATATCTCTCAAGCATTTGCAACTTATTAGAATGAGTCAAACTATTTTCTCACATTCCTTCCACTTCAACTGCAATCCTAATCTTTGGACCCTTAATAGTTTTTAGACTCTCTTGTAAGGAAAAAGAAAATTGATTCAGAATTTAAGAAATCATGCCATTATTAGCTTATATGGCTTTGAACAATTTAAAAGTGGAATAGTTTGCATAATCAGTACAGTTACTTAATTAGTATAATTTTTAAAAGTTCAAAGGCCACTAGAACCATGACAGTAAGAACTTATGCTAATTTCTTTCCTTTTAGATTTTCCAGCATTCGTTTTTACAGGACATGGGTCATATATAGATGTTTTTGAGTGCTGAAATATTTTACTCATATCGCAACCAGTTTTGCAATAATTTGCTTCCAATTGATTTGAAATCTGTAATTCGACTTTGCTATAGCAAATAGTTTCATGAAACTCAAGGTTTGAGAAAAATGTGGAGTTTTTTTCTTCTTTTGGCCAGAAAACATATCCAGATAGAGAGTTCCAGACAAAATGTGTTTAGGGGACGCCAATATTCTTACTACCTCTGCCCCCCCCCCGCCCCCCCGCAATGTATGGGGAGATCGGGCTCCGCATTTTTCTGTAAGCATTAACTGTCCTGGGGCTGCGCGAGCTTATTTTACAATTCAGAAAACTACCATCGTTTCCGTCTTAGACCTTTAATAACTGAAAGACAGCATCCGCAGCTGAAAAGCCGACTCTACCCTGACTCGGTCTGCTGTGAAGCGCAAGGAGAAAGGGCAACGCCCACAGCAGCACGGCCTTCCCAGCGTGCCCCGCGCGGAGGGGACTCTTAATGTGAAGCGCCGGGTGACTCAGCCGCGTGGCCGCGCCGGCCTTGGCTGGGGGCGCGCGGCTGCGGCAAGGCCGGTCTCCGCAGCGGCTTTTGGCGGCGGGGCCTTCGCGCGCCTCCCCGGCGGATTTCGTCCCCGAGCGCTAGAACGCGGCAGGTAGCGACTAGTAAGTGGCGGCCTGGGCCGGGCTCGGGCTTGAAGACCCGGCAGGGCGAGGGTGGCGGCTGCCGAGCGTTGCCTTTGTGTCCGGGGTGGGGGTGGGGGGGCACAAAGGCAACACTGTCCTCCTCGGGACGCCGCTCAGGCGGACGCCGTGGTGGCCCGGACCCATAAGTCGGAAGGTCACGGGACTGAACGCGGAGCGTGGAGTGTGTCTGCTGATAGGTGACGGGCGACCGTTTTTGGATTTTACTTTTGTTTTATTTATTCTTTTGGAGGCTGTGGGACCTCGACCCTTGACCCTGCTGTTCTAACACCGTGCTGCGACCAGCTGAACCAGCTGAGCCCCAGGACGGGCGCCTGTTTTCGTGCTGAGGGTAAAGTCTAGTGATCGGGGGAGGGAGGTCGCCTTCTGCCCGAATGGCAAACACGGTCCCGGAGCCAGCTCAGTGTACCTCGACTGCTTCCTGCCGGCCTTTGGTTTATCCCGCCAGAAGAGAAATTACGGCAGCCCCGAGTGGTTACTGGCAAAATATTTGCAGACGCGTTTTTTTCTGGTAGTTAATTGAATTCATTAAAAATCATGTAGTTGGGCGGACTTGCTCCTAAACTCTGTCTGGAGCAGCGAGTGCATCTTGCTCGTCTTTTCACCCCTGCTTCGAAGTATTCCTTCCCTGCCACCCACAAGTTACTAGCTTTCATCGGTGGCTCGGTCTGAGTGAAAAAGAGCTGGGAAGAGCCTTAACCGGTAATTTTTTTTAAAGTTAAAACCTTTTGTAGCAGACATTGTCTTCAGGTTTACAAGCCAGCCCAGTTATGCACTGTGAGCAACCTTTATTTTGGAATTTGTGATTCTTTCTGAAAATTCCTGAGTTGAAGCGATTTATTTTTAAACAAGAATCCAGGCTGGCCGGTTTGCTCAGTTGGTTAGAGCTCTGTGTTATAACACCAAGGTCAAGGTTTCGCATCCCCTTACCAGCCTTACAGAAAAAAAATCTAGTGAACAAACAGGATAAACAAGGCTGCGAAGGAACTGTTTAACCTGCTTATGAAAATACCTTTCCAAGTCCTTTAATTGTGCCCCCGTTCTCGGTTAAACCACTGTCTGCAACTGTTAGCTGGGAAATTGAGGTGCTTTTTAATGGCCCCCAAAACAAAGTATTGTAGTAATAAGTCGGATAGGATGAATACAGAGTCTGAGAACTTCACCCTCAACTCCCTTAACTCCTTCAGCTCCCTCTCAAACGTCAGGTTGCTCCTTCGTAATGAGATTGCAGTACCCTAGCACCCTCCCAGAAATTTGATTCTAGAGATCGGTGATCGGTCTCTGAGTCTGTATTTTAAGCTAGCATCCTCTCCCTTGGTCTGTTACTGCTGACCCAGGGACCACACTTTAAGAAACACCATCATTGGGCTGGGCTGGGAATTTTTGAAACTGTCCAACTCCTTTATCCCTTTGAGTTATTCCTCCCCTGCCCCCAACAAGTCATAGGCTAAGAAATAAGAAACTCTTACTTCAGGGGTAGGAAATTATTTTCATGCATATGCTGATATTGCCTCTGTGGTTTAGATAGCCAGTGCCCGATTAATCTGCCCAGTTTCCTTCTGCGGGCTGCTTCCTGTATCATCAAAGCTTAAGCAATGCCATTAGTCCAAATCTATTTCCTCCCAGCTCAGGCAGTGTCCCTCCCCATAGAACCAGGGAAGCCAATGCCATCTAATTCCCATGGCGTTGAGCTCTCAGATTCTCTGGTATTTAGCAGTACCTGTAGCATTTATGAGGGAATTTCAGTTCAGCTGAACGTTAATTCAGTCACCAGATATCCAAGTAATACATAAGCACTGTGGTTGGTCATTTTATTGACAACATAGCACAGAGTTGCGTTGCTCCCTTGAGGCAAAAATGAGGGCTGGATAACCTGCACTGCTGCCAAAAGCTTTTTCTATTTCTTAGTCTCCGTTCAAATAGATTTGTAGAGGTAAGGTTAAAGTTGGGCCATGTGTTCTGACTTTTTTCCTGTCTTTGGTGTCTTTTTGATGTCTGATTTGTCTTTTTAATTGATCGTTTTCTTTTGATTCACAAAATGTCTTTCCTTCTGTATCCCTGGGCTTCTTGATTGTTGTGTCTCTCTCTGGCCCCCAGTCTAACTGTGCCCTTCCTTGGCTAACTGGAGTAAAAAGTTTAGGGGAATTGTTTGAACACTGAATGATTTCTAGTTGGAAAACCAAGAGTCATGGAAATATGAGGCTTAGAGATATAAGAGAACTTATTACAAATTTATCTAGTGCAGTCCTCTCATCTTTCAGATAAGGAATCTGAGATGGCAGAGTGAGGACCCTTGACTCCTAGCTCAGTGTTCTTCCAACCAAATCTTCTCAAGAAACATGTTTCAAAAATGGAAAAGGTCTAGAGAAATTAAATTATAAGTAGATGAAGAGAATGGAGAGACTAAAAGAGCAGTATTATCTGGAAAAATGGAGATTGAAGGAGAATATGATCTAACCATATAAATTATGAAGAGTGGGAGTACTAAAATAAGCAACTCTTTGAAGCTTGAAATAAGTAGTGAACAGACAAATAAGAGCAAGCAAATAGCTATCTTGTAAAACTCAAGACATATTATGAGCTCAAAATTTTATAAAGATGCAATAAAGGTTTAGATAAATACTTTGGTGATTTTTTTTATTAGATTTTAGATGCTTCAGCAATGTTCAGAATCTTTTGAAGTTGTCATTTTAAGTATACTGTTGTCCTTACCAAAAGTTATTATGTATCTGTGATAAAATATAGGACATCTAACTACTAATCTGATTCAATATATTTCTTTTTTTCTTTTTTGTCTGCTGGCCAGTGCAGGATAATTCGATATATTTCCTAACTTTTTATGGGAAATGAGATTATTGGAATAGTACATGCATTTCTGCAGTAGTAGGAAGGAAAGAAGTATGGATGAAAGAGGGCCTCTAATATTTTTGCTTGGAGTCCCCAAATGAGACATTGTTGGATTATTCTTGTGTATACATGAAAGTAGTAGAAATAGAAATAGTAAGGGCTTAATAATTAACATACATTGTGTACCAGACACTGTAGTAAGTGGTTTTACCTCATTGTCCCATTTAATTATCTCCATGTTATAGATGAAGAAACTAAGACACAAATTTGTCCAAAGTCATATAACTAGTAAGTGGCTGAGCCAGTGTTTAAATTTAAGTCCACCTGACTTCAAAGCTATGAAAATTTATGCTCGATAGTGTCCTAGTAGTACTTTATTGAATAGTATAAGAATATGGGCTCTTGCCTGCATTCAAATCCTGGCGTCTCCATTTATTAGCTTGGGTGAAGTACTCATCAGTTTCTATGCTTCTGAATAGACAGTAATAGTTCCTACCTTAGAGGGTTTTTAGGATTGGGTTAATTCATGTAATGTGCTTAGAACTGTGACCGACAAATGGTAAGTTCTCAGGAAATGCTGGTCATTATTTTAAAAAATTATTATAACTTATTTCAAGATACTATTTTTGGATTCAGACTATCCTATTATTTGAAATCCTAAGGTTTTAAGATAAGTATAAATATAAAGTAAACTTCATCTCTGTTCTTACTAAAATGGGAGGAGCTTTACTAATATTTTGGAAAGCATTGTGATGTAGTGGAAAGTTTTGTGACCCAGGACAGAGGGTTTGCTTCTAGTTGTCTCTGCTAGCTCTATGATCTTAGGCTCAAAATTTCTTTCTCATAGAGAAGGTTGTAAGAATCAGATGAAGTAACAAATATGAGTGAAATTTGAATTTCATATGCTACACAAATGTAAAGTACTGTTATAAAATCATGGAGGAAAGTAACAATGAATTATTAAGTAGATTATTGAAAGTTCAACTTCTTTAGACTAAAACAGCTAGTGATTTATACATCTATATGAAGGTCAAGAGTCTACCATAAAATTGTCTAAGACGCATTCCATGGATTTGTCCCAAATCTCTTTTTTGGTGAGGGAAGGTGAAATTTAAGTTTTGTAGTTATATCTATATATTAGGTTCCTAGGGCTGCCTAACACAGGACCACAGACTAGGTAGCTTGAACAACAGAAATTTTTTTCCCACAGTTCTGTAGGCTAGAAGTCCAAGATCAAGGTGTCAGCAGGGTTGGTGTCTTCTGAGGCCTCTCTCCTAGGCTTGTAAATGGCAGTCTTCTTTTCCTGTATCTTCACATGGTTATCCTTCTGTGTGTGTCTGTGTCCTAATTTCCTCTTAAAAGGACACATTGGATTAGGGTCTACCTTAATGACTTCATTTAACCTTAATTACCTCTTTAAACGCTCTGTCTCCAAATATAGTCTGAAGTACTGGGGGCTAAGGACTTATTAAGTCTAGAACTTTCACCTTTTCACTTAAAGGAAGCTTCACTTTGGCATATCTGAATCACCACCATCACTCCTCTTGCGCTTTGGGGCAATTATTAAGTAAAATAAGGGTTACTTGAACACAAGCACTGGGATATGCCACAGTTGATCTGATAACCAAGCCAGTTATTAAGTGACTAACAGGCAGGTAGCTTAGACAGCATAGAGTCACTGGATAAAATGGACAAAGGGATAATTCACCTCCTGGGCAGAGACAGACATTACTAGATTTCATCATACTCTCAGAACAGCGTGCAATTTAAAACTAATGAATTGTCCATTTCTGGAGATTTCCACTTAATATTTTCAGGCCTTGGTTGATTTTGTGTAATGTAAACCCAGAAAAAAACCACAGGTAAGGGGGGACTAATGTGTTTAGAACTGTGCTCACTATTGAGTACCCTAAGAAGCACATTATGCCTCTGCATAAATCATTGTATTATATTTAAGGTTATCAAGGTTATCCTGTTGGGCTGGCCAGTTAAGTTCAGTTGGTGAGTGTGTGGTATTCGGATCCCTGTACCAGCCAGCTAACTCTGCCCCCTTCCGCCAACCCCCAAAGATTATCCTGTTATTTTACTGAATAATCTATTTGAGAAACTGTTTCATATACTTAAATTCCTTATTCACATGATAAGCATATTTCTTCTTTAAATGGAAAAATGTCAGACACTTTTATGTGGTAATGTATTGTTTTCTATTTAAATTTATAAAATTTTCTCTTAAACTGTTTCAAACATTCTTTTTAAAAAAATTCTAATGATTCCAACATTTTCTTGAGGAGTTTCCTGTTTTTAGACATATTTTCCTTTTTCCTCATTTTAAAAGTAATAACACATTCATTTTAGAGATTTTGGAATAGTCAGTAAAACAGTTTTTTAAAAAATCACATGTGATCCTACAATTAAGAGAGAATAATATTTTAATCTTTTTCTATGAATACATTTATTCTTTCATCCTGCCTTTTTAAAACCTAATATGTCAACACAGTTTCATGCTATTAGCTATTATATTTTATGTATATGGATTTGATTTTCTAATAAATTGTTTAGGATTTTTATGCTTATGTTCATGAGAAAGAGTGGCCTTTTTAGGTAATGTCTGTTTTTGTGTCAATATTATGCTAGCCTCTGAAGCAAATTGGGAAATATTCCCTCCTTTTCTGTTCCCTGGAGGAGTTTGTGTAAGATTTATGTAATTTCTTCCTTAAAGGTGTGGGGAGATTTGCCATTTGGTCCAGAAGCTTTCTTTATGGAAGGGTTTCAATTATATTTCTTTGCTAGATATAGGATTTTTCACATTTTTTTTCTATGCCAGTTTCAATAAATTGTGGTGTGTTCATTTCATC